CTCTACATGTGCTTGGCCTCCAATCAGTGACAGGCAGTATTTCTGTTATTTCCAAGGCATAATTACAGGCTGAATTACAGTGCCATAGGACTGTGTTATTTGTTATGCATCCCCCCTCCTCCCAGGTTTTTGGCCCCAGCAGCCTTGCCTCCTCCCCTTGACTTTTTTTTTTCTAAATTCAAGCTAATAAAATACCTAGTAGCTAGGTGGCTGTCCTTTCAATATAGCAGCACTAAACTAAAGGTTACTACTAACATAAGAGAGTGCTTGAATATAAATATTTATTCAGCCTCATAAAAGGTAGTCAGGAGGCTTTTTACACAATGTATGCTCTAGTTAGCACGCTGCTTTCAAAGTAGGAAACACCACACACATTCACCGTGCTGAGCTGAGCTTAATGCTTAGGAAGTCCTGAAAGGCATCATGCAATCTTAAGTATTTTAAATCATTTGATATTTACTGAATGCTCAATGGGAGCGGAGCAGAGTACACAAGGTCTGCTGTAGGAGAAAGTGGAACGATGGTAGGATCTGGGCCAGACACTACAGAACATCATATTAAATGCTTGAAAACATTTTAAACTTTATAGCTTTGTTAAATAAAATGGGTAGCAAAGGATAGATTTTGAAACCCACACAAAAAGAAGTCTAAGGAGACGTTTTCAATAGAAAAATGCATTTAGGACAAGAGACAGGACACTTAATTTTGCATCTAGAGTTTTGGAGTGTGAGTGTGAGTGTGTGTGAGTGTGTGTGTGTTTCTGTGTGTGTTTAAGAAACTGATAAGCGTGAGAAACTCCATGCATATAAAATCATCAATTCTAAAAATTTCTGACTTTGTGAAAACCACAGTTCAAAAGATAATCACACGGGGCCAGCATTGTGAATGGCAAGTTAAGCTGCTGCCTAAGACACTGGTATCCCCTCATGAGCATAGGCCTATGGGCCTGGGAAAGCAGCAGAAGATGGCTCAAAAGCTTGGGTCCCTGCCACCCACATGGGAGACCCATGTGGGAGTTTCAGGCTCTTGGCTTCAGCCTGACCCAGCTGGGCTGTTGTAGCCCCTTGAAAAATGAACCAGCAGATGGAAGATCGATCTCTCTCTCTCTCTCTCTCTCTCTCTCTCCTCTCTCTGTAACTCTGCCTTTGAAATAAATAAATAAATCTCAAAAAAGAGAGAGAACACAGAGTTTCATAAACTCTACTTGCTACCCAGTAAACACAGGGTTTAAAATCCCAGGTTCCACCCTACTCATTCTAAACCCCAGAGTGGTTAAATCTGAGCCATCCATTTACATGCACACTTACCATCTAAGGCCCCTACAGCCTCATCAGCAACTTTCTTTGTTTAGCCAGAGTTCTGCTTCTTAAGAATAAACTGGGAAGAAAGGAACAAGAGGAAGAGGGGTCCAGCGCTTTGGTGCAGCGGGTTAACGCCCTGGCCTGAAGCACCAGCATCCCATGTGGGCACCAGTTCGAGTCCCGGCTGCTCCACTTCCTATCTGGCTATCTGCTATAGCTTGGGAAAGCAGTAGAAGATGACCCAAGTGCTTGGGCCCCTGCACCCACATGGCAGACCTGGAAGAAACTCCTGGCTCCTGGCTTCAGATCGGCCCAGCTCTGGCCGTTGCAGGCAATCGGGGAGTGAACCATCGGATGCAAGACTTCTCTCTGTCTCTCCTCTCTCTGTGTAACTCTTTCAAATAAATAAATTAATTAAAAAAAAAAAAAAAAGAGGAAGAGGGAAGCAAAGGGCTCACACGGAGGGACACAGAGGCTGAAGCTGCTGGAACCTTCCTTGGCCGCCTCTCCTGTCAGGCAGTCTGAGCACCTACCCTGGGTCATGGGAACACAAGGTGAAAAGGGTAGGGAGGCGGCCAGAAAGAAAAGCTGGCGAGGCCACGCGGTTCCCACACAGGCAGTGTGGAGCAGGCCTGCTCACCTTCCCAAGGCAGGTGACTTCCGAGCAGTCGACCCAGCTCACCACAGGGAGAAGTTAGCTGTCCCTGGGTGTCCCCTGTCAAACAAGCACCGACATAACTAACCAGAATCTCGACCAAAGAAGACGTATGAACACGAGAAGACAGAACAATCTTATCTTACAAGCCAGAGAAGCCATAAAATGTCTTAGGCACCTAAAAAAAAATCTAGTCCCATAAAAACACACAAAGTATATTAGCAAACTGGAACATTATAGAGGCATTAATGATTTTGATTCTTGTCACCCAAGCTACAACCCAAAACCCATCAAAATAATCACTTCATTCACCTAAATCAAACATATTTAATCTTTCACAAGTACCTGTTATTCTAAAAACATGTTACATATGATACCACAAAACAATTAATATAAAACATGAACATACACATTTGTCACCTATCCCACTGTCCCATTAAAAACCAGGCAGAATAATGCTGGCTTACACAGTGTGCCCCGGGCCTTCTAACAATACACACAAGACTGGTGACAAGCTTGCTAACTCTTAACATTGAGTGTCTACTATGTGCAAGTTATTACCTAACCAACCAAGGATGATCAAAAATGAAATGCTCCTAAACTCAAGCAGCTTAAAATCTAGACGAGAATGTGTATGTGTACCTATACATATGCACAGTGTCTGCATATATATCTATATTATACATGATGTTGCTAAGCATGGCATATGTGAAGTGTGCAATTAACCTGAGGAGTATGAAGACAAGTACAAGGCTCCAGAGAGTCTCTTACAAGTTATCAAAAGTAAAATGGAATACATGGAATGCCATTATTTACATAAAAACTCTCACATGGAGGCAGGCATTAAGGCGAGCAGTTGAGGTATCTTCATTTGACAAGGGAGTACCTGGGGTCAGGAAGCAGCTCTAGCTCCTGACTCCAGTTTTCCAAGAATGCAGACCCCGGGAGGCACTGCTGATGGCTCAGATAATTTGGTTCCTGTCACCCATGTGGGACAGACCTGGATTGAGTGGGCTGTTGTGGGCAGCTGGGGAGTAAATCAGTGAATGGGAGTGCTCCCGTTCGTTCTCTGTCTCTCTCATAAATAAATTTTAAAAACAACTCATGCAGGAAGGCAAATACTGGAGGGGGGAAAAAAAGCAAAAAATAAAAAAATAAAAACTATTGCATTAGGGCTTAAAACAGAAGTGATTCCCATTCCCACTTCCAAGCATTATTTCTGTTCGTTAGCGTTTATTTAGCTCTTTAAAACCATGCCAGCCTCATCTGTGTGACAGTCACTGCTTTATTATCAGCCAGAAATCTCTAAGATGAAGCAACATTTAAATCTGGGAAAAAAAAAAAAAAAAAAAAAAAAAAAACATGCCCAGCTATTGCCACATCTCCAGCAGCGATTCTATTCTGGACAATCTGACTTGAGTTCCTGTCTTAAGAGAAAAGTGCATCCAAAGCTACGGTTAAATCAGACAGAGCAACCCAGGACCCTTCCCTTCTCCCCAAGAAACCCAGAGCCACCACTTCGCAATCTGGGGACACACGGTACACACAGCCATCGCCGCAGCCACCACAAATCCTCCGCACCGTAACTTCCAGGAGCACGGGAAGTCTCAACGTTGGGGCGGGGTAGAGGGTCGTGGTCCCCTCTCCGTGAGAGAGGAAAACGATCCACGGTCCCCAGCTCCACCAGCGGCTCCGAGCACTTACAAGAGCCGGCGGCCCTGCGCTACTCCACCAGGCTTTATACCCTAAGCGCAACGCGATCGCCAGCCCCGGCCAGCGCCTTCGCCGCCTCCCAGAACCTTCTCTCCCTCGATCTCTCTCTCTCTCTCTCTTAGTCTGTTTCTCTCGCTCTCTCCATCTCCTTCACGCACACTCGCTCGCTCACACACACACACACACACACACAGGCGGCCTCCTCTGCCGGCTCGCCTCCTCGCTCCAGCTCCGCCGCCCCGGGATGCCGGCTGGCACTCGGCGAGACGCAACTTGCCCCGCACCTGCTCCGGCTCGGGGCCGCGCGCAGCCCCGCGCCGAGCCCGCGCCCACCCGGAAGCCGCGGCGCCCGCCTCACCTTGCTCGCCGCGGTCCATGGCTCCCGCCCGCCGCCTCGCGTCCTCCGCGCCTCCGCCGCCCGCAGCCCCTCCGGCTCGGCCCGCCCGCCGCGCTGCGCCGAGCTCCTCCTTGCCTCCGTCGCGCGACTCCCGCGAAGTCCCCACCCCCAAAGGCGTCGGGCGCGGCGGCGCCGCCCGCGCTCGGCCGGGAGCGCCTTCCCGGGGCGTCACCCAACCACCTGACCCGGCCGACCTGTGCGCTCCGCCACGTCGGCGCAGGCGGGCGAGCGGGCGGCGCCGGGCGAGCAGGGCCGGGCGCGTCCCGGCCTCGGTCGGGAAGCCTGCGTGGAGGAGGGAAGAGGGGGACCGCGGCGGGCTGGAAGCAGCCATGGAGGCTGCTGGGGGACCGGGATGGGCGGCGTCTGCGGTGCACCCTCAAGTTCTTTATAAAATCAAAAGTTTCCTCCGAGGCGTCGGAGATGCCTTTTGTCCGCCTCTGCGGGCACCTGCTCTCATGTACTTAGTGAGGAGAAGGCACAGGCCGGTTATGTAGGAATGCCAGTGGCTCTTTTTTTCCCCTATGTGCGTCATAGTCTCCTGTTACCCGAAATGATACTCTATGATGTCTTCCCTAACCAGGTCAAAACCCAGCAGAGGTGAAAAATCACAAAGAATCTCTAGAAAATTCTGTCGTCGTGTCTTTTCATAGAAAGTGCGGATGTTTTTAGGAGACTCGATTTCCATGTAATAAGGACAGGACTGTTTTGAGTGCAGGACCGAGGACAACGCTGGGAAACGGATTTAATCAAATGAAATTAATTAGATTAACCAAGGGGCAAGATTACCAATAGAATCTTTGGAAAATGCATTCTGTGGCTTCTTTTCTATCGGTTAAGTTCCTGTACAGGTACTTTCTTTTTAAATTTACCTTCTAATTCCATTTCCCACAAACTTTTTTTTTAAAGATTTATTTATTTATTTGAAAGTCAGAGTTACACTGAGAGAGAAGCAGAGAGAGAGAGAGGTCTTCCGTCCGATGGTTCACTCCCCAATTGGCCGCAACGGTCAGAGCTGTGCCGATCCAAAGCCAGGAGCCAGGAGCTTCTTCCGGGTCTCCTACGTGCGTACAGGGGCCCAAGGACTTGGGCCATCTTCCACTGCTTTCACAGGCCATAGCAGAGAGCTGGATCAGAAGTGGAGCAGCCGGGTCTCAAACTGGCGCCCATATGGGATGCCAGCACTGCAGGCAGCAGCTCAACTGGCTATGCCACAGCACTGGCCCCTCCCATAAATTTTTGTTTACTTTAAGATTTATTTTATTTATTTGAAAGAGTTACAGAGAGTTGCTTACTTTTTATTTTTGTTTATTTTTAAAGATTTACTTCATTTCTCTGAAAGGCAGAATTAGAGGGAGAGAAAGAAAGAGCTTCCATCTGGTGGTCACTCCAAATGGCCAGGGCTGAGCCAGGCCAACGGCAGGCGTCTGGAACTCCATGTGCTCGCACCACATGGACGGAGGCCACAACAGCAGCCATAGCACTTTGAATTACTGCATTAACACTCTGCTTGCAGGGTGTGTTACAGTAACTGATGTTCTACAAAGTCACTTTAACATACAGCTCCTAAGATGGTACCTCCGTTTCATGAGCCAAGGGACAGTGCAAGTGACGAGCGCCTGCTTCTGTGTCCTGCCCAGACTCTGACTTGCCCTTCAACTTGAAGCATGATGTAATGCATCCCCTGCAGGCAGTAGGCATTTATTAACGATTTCTAAGTACGCGTAGTTACCTGAAGTGACTCATGCTTTCTATCTCTATCCTGTTGCACTGTGAGCAGAGTGTGGCTCCTTCCGCACCATGTCTCCAAGCCTTCTCCTCCATGACTTTTACTCTGTTTAGGAAGTGACATCACCTCCCGGAGCCCTGCTATCACCGCACTTGGCTTATCTGATGCATCACTCACCTGTGGCGCTAATGTGTAGTGCAGACTGCCACAGCTATCATGTATCTGTTTCACAGCATGACTGCGTTACAGACTCCAGGAGGGCAAGGACATTTTCATCTTTACATCCCTTTAATTATACCATGCACTTCATAAATATTATAATTTTTACTTTTAGATGTCAATGTTAAACTATATTGTATTTGCTAACAATCCAGTGTCTATAGGAGAGACATACATTTTTTTTTTTTTTTTGACAGGCAGAGTGGACAGTGAGAGAGAGAGACAGAGAGAAAGGTCTTCCTTTGCCGTTGGTTCACCCTCCAATGGCCGCCGCGGCCGGCGCGCTGCGGCCGGCGCACCGCGCTGATCCGATGGCAGGAGCCAGGAGCCAGGAGCCAGGTGCTTTTCCTGGTCTCCCATGGGGTGCAGGGCCCAAGCACCTGGGCCACCCTCCACTGCACTCCCTGGCCACAGCAGAGGGCTGGCCTGGAAGAGGAGCAACCGGGACAGAATCCGGCGCCCCGACCGGGACTAGAACCCGGTGTGCCGGCGCCGCTAGGCGGAGGATTAGCCTAGTGAGCCGCGGCGCCGGCCGAGACATACATTTTTTTAAAAAATTATTTTTAGTGGTGCTGGTTCGTGTTCCAGCTGCTCCTTTTCTGATCCAGTTCTCTGCTTATGGCCTGGGGAAGCAGTGGAAAATGGCCCAAGTGTTTGGGCCCCTGCATGTGCATGGGAGATAAGGAAGAAGCTCCTGGCTCCTGGCTCCTGGCTCCTGGCTCCTGGCTCCTGTCTTAGGATCAGCCCGGCTCCGGCCATTGAAGCCATTGGGGAGTAAGCCAGCAGATGGAACACCCGTCTCTCTGTCTCTCCCTCTCTCTTTCTGTAATTCTACCTCTCAAATCAATAAATGAAAATTTATTTTGAGACACAGACAGACAAAGCTCCCATCTGCTGATTTACTCCCCAAATGCACAACAGCTAAGGCTGTGCCAAGGCAAAGCTAGGAGTCTAGAATTCAATCCAAGTCTCCCATGTGGTGCAGGAACCCAACTACTTGAGCCATCACCACTGCCCCCAGGGTGCACAGCAACAGGAATCTGGAATGGGCAGCAGAGTTAGGACTCAAACCCAGGCACTCTGATTTGGGATACAGGCAGCCCATGCGGCATCTTAACCACTAGGCTAACTGCCTGTGGCAAATTATTTTTTTAATGTAATATTAAGGCAAATTTAGGCATTGAAGGAAATTCTATAATATGGGATAGAATTTCTTACTGGCTGATACTCAGGTCTGTTGTATAGAGATAAACATCTGGAGAAACAATCTCTCATCCTATGATCTAATTTGTTGACAAATTGCATTTAAGAATGAGTGTTGGGTACCAGCGTTGTGGGCAAGTTAAACCCCTGCCTACAATGCTGGCATCACATATAGGTGCCAGTTAAGTCCTGGCTGTTCCACTTCCTATCCAACTCCCTGCTAATGGCCTGGGAAGGCACCTGAGGATGGTCCAAGTGCTTGAGGCCCTGCTACCCATGTGGGAGACCTGGAAGAAGCTCCTGGCTCCTGGCTTCAGCCTGGCCCAGCCTTGGCCATTATGGCCATCTGAGGAGTGAACCAGCAGGTGGAAAATCTCTGTCTCTGTCTCTCCCTCTCTCTCTGTTTAACTCTTTCAAATAAATAAGTTTTAAAAGGTATAATTATTACATGTAAATAAGCAATATTTTCAAAAAAAGAAATGTGTTCTATTTATACTTATTTAACTTACTATACAGTGATGAATTTCATTGTTACATATGTTGAAAGGGGAAAATTTTTTAAGAGTTTATCTACTTGTTCACCTGTTGTAAGATGGCTAGTAACCTACTGAATATCCAACATTCTCAGTTTCCTTCCTAAAAGAACCCAAATATTGTTTGGGGTAGCCTACTGTGAGCCTGCTGACACAGTGGCCATCCTGACTCCCTTGCAGCTAGGGGGTAGCTCTGCAACTGATTCACCACCAATGAGATACGAGCAAGTATGCTAGCTGGCATCTCTAAGCAGCATTTTTCAAATGACAGACTTGCGACATTATTTTGCCCCTCACCCTTTCCCTTCCTGTTTAGAAGGGCTGCAAGCCAAGCACAGCAGAGTGGAAGAGCAGAAAGAACCTGTGCGTTCAGTGGTATTACAGACCTGTTTCTTAAGGGAGAAAAAGATGCCTGCGCCTGTAGTTGGGTTCATGTTACATGGAGCCAAATTCAGTCCTAACTGATATAATGTACCGTTGTTAACATCGACTGCTGGCATCTGCCCTTGGAGGTGGGTTGGTGCAATTCAGAGCCTTGGGCAAATATTAACTTAATTTTCTCCAGAAGGTTAAACAAGCACTGTTCATTCTATAAACAACCTAGAAGCTGGCTTCTCTCTCATGTTTTCCTTGACTTAATTTTTTTTTTCTGACAAGCAATCTGCACTTGCGGTTCACACTGTGTTACTTCTGAAATGCAGAGAGTTTCTCAGTCGTTGCAGCCCTCTGATAAATCCCTGAAGAAAGGCTAGCACTTAACCCAGCACCTGGGTGCATTCTGCCATGCAGCACTTAGAAAGCTCCAGCTGGGAGAAGACAGACTGACTTCGTGGTGTTTCTGTAGTTAATGGTGATGGGAGTTTTCTTTGTTTTAGTTTTTTTTTTTTTTTCAAAGTACTCATCCATTTGGTGGAATTTCTACATGGAACAGCAGACAGTAGATTTCCCCCAAAACAGAAGAATTGCAGCAAAAGAAAGTATTGAAGAGGACATGTAGAAATAGAAGTTGTATCTTCTCGTTGGAAATTTCTATCCTCTGCCCTTCTAGTTGACACCTTCCCCAGCTGAGAGCCAAGGAGAACTGAACAAAATGTGTGGACAGTGGAATGTGCCCTCCCTCTCACATTCATAGAGCCTAGGGCAAAAGGCTCTGGAGGCCCTGGCTTTCTCGGAGGTCCTGTCCTTTCCCCTTTAGATTGGTATAGCCCTGGCCCACTCCTGTGTGTGTCTGTGTGTGTATGTGTGTGTATGCCATAGCAACATTTCCCATCTCTGTCCACCCATTCCCATCTGCTGCCCCCTTGGCCACACTTCCCGCCTAGGACGGTCCTGGGAAAAGGTCAAGTTCCTGGCAACAGGTGCAGCAGGGTAGGCTGGAGAGTTCCAAGTCACCAATACCATATGCATGGTCTATAGAGAGTGTGTAGGTATGAATGCGGTTGTACGCTCCTCTGCCCAGAGGAAGGTGCTGGTGGGTGACTCGTCTCTAAAGCTTGGGGACCCTATACAGGACCTCCCTAGTAATCTGTGTCTACGGTTGCCAGATAAGAGAGAGGACTTCCGGCTCAAATTGAATTTCAGTTAAATATTTTTTAGTCTATCTCTTGCAATATTTGTAACATACTTACACTGAAAAAAAATTCTCCTTGTTTATCTGAAATTCCTGACCAGCATCCTGTATTTTTTATTTGCTCATTCTGATAGCCCTACCTTTGTCCCAGAGCGGTTCTGACTTGGACCAATCAAACACCAGAGTGCATATGATGCTGCAATTTTGAACCAGTTCACATAATCCAGGAGAGGAGTCCTCATGGCCTCCTTCGGCTTTAACTGTGGGAGGGAACAAAGAGAGGGTGAGGAAGTATAAGAAGTCAAGAACAAGTTTGGAAGACAAATTGATTTAATGTCAGGTAATTAACATGTAATCATTCAAGAACTATCCTGGCCATTGTCTAGTATTTTCTTAGTTGTGTAAATATGAAATAAACAACTTTTTTTTTGAGAGCAGACAGAGGGAATTCCCATCCACTGATTAACACCCCCAAATTCTTACAGTGGCTGGGACTGTGCCAGGCCAAAGCTACGAGCCAGGAATTCAATCCAAGTCTCCCACCTGGGTGGTAGCAACCCAAGTCCTTGAGTCATCAGCACTGCCTCCCAGGGTCTGCATTAGAGTGGGAAGCTAGACTTGGGAGCCAAGGTCAGGTGTCAAAGGCAGGTACTCTGATGTGGAATGTGGGCATCTTAACCACTTGGCCAAGTATCCACCCTTGAAATAAACAACCTTTAAAGTGTGTAGAAAGAGGCATTGGCAGGAAAGAGAACTTAACACTAATGGAACTTAGACACATAAATCCGTGAACATTAACAGGAAGCGATCTCACATTATTGATTTCGGTTGTGTTAAGAAAAGCCAAAGACCACTTCATCTTCCCTGTATGTTTTTACATCACTGTGAATTCTGTGTAGTTATCAGATTACATTATGAGTGCTGGTTAGAGAAGAGAGCTCCAGAGCCACCATCTGTCCCAGTTTTCCTGCAGTGTCCACCATCACTGTTCTCAGACTGTTCTTCTACCTGTTAGATGACCTTAGGGTATAAACTGCATTGGTTATACATAGATTTAACTAAATTATTAGTAATAATTGTTATTATTAACAGGAGAGACAGGCATTTGGCATAACCATGAAATCACTTCTTGGAACGCCTGCATCCCATATCTGAGTGCCTGGGTTTGAGTCCCAGCTCCGCTATTTCCAACACAGCTTCCTGCTAATGTATACCCAAGAAGGTAACTGATGATGGCTCAAGTTCTTGGGTCCCTGCCACCCACAAGGGAGATCTGGATGAGTTCCAGGCTCCTGGCTTCAGCTTGGCCCTTGTGGGCATTTGGGAGTGAATTAGCAAATGAAGATTTCACCATCTCTCTCTCTCTGGATCTTGCTCTCACTCTGTCTGCCTTTCGAGTAAATACATTTGTTAAAAAATTATTAACACTATTTTAAAATTTCTAACCAGTGTTTGAATCCGTGCCTTACAGGCCATTTCACTCCTAGAAGGATGGCTCATTCTTCAGAGTTCCAATATTCTTCTTGCAGAAAGGGGGCAGGCTAGAAGGACAAGTGCTGTCAGGGTTAAGAGCCACAGTCTGTGTCCCTGGCAACAAAAAGCAACTCTGCAAAGGCCAAATAGGACTCCCAACACCCGAGTGGTTTTAGCAGAACCATCATTTATAACCCTCACAGTCCTGGGCTTCTAAACTCTGGAGTCACAGAGCAGGCATTTGATCTGATGGCTGGGACACCTGCACCCCATGTCAGAGTGACCATGTTCAAGTACTGGCTTCTCCCAGCTCCTGCTTCCTGCTCATGCATACCCTGGAAGGCATCAGGTGATAGGTAGTTGGCCCTGCTACCCACGTAGGAGGCCTGGACTGAGTTCCTTCCCAACTTCAACCTGGCCCTCTCCAGCTATTTCAGGTACCAGAGCAATGAACCAACAGATACAAGCTCGCTCGCTCTCTCATTCTTTGGTCTCTCTCTCGCTCACTCTTTTTCTGTCTCTCTGCCTCTCAAGTAATAATAGTGATGATGATGATGATGATGATGATGATGATGATGATGTAAAATCTGGAATCAGACTTTGAGATGCATTTCTCATACATTTACTCATTTTTAAAAATTTGTTTTATTGATATAGAATTCATACGCCATAAAGTTCACCACTTACGATGCACAGTGCAGTGGTTTTTAGCATATTTACAATATAGGCTCATTCTTAAGCTCTCCCAATGCCACTAAGATTACAGTGAAGGGATAAAACCACAAGGACAAAGAGAACACCAGAGACTATGTGATGATAATTGATCTTGCAGATCTGGAAAAGCCAAACACTAAGCTGGCAGCAGGAAAAGCCAAGAAAAACATCATTTACACTGCAGATCTTCCAAAATGCCCAGGCCTTGGCACCAGACATTTGTGGATACAGAAAGAAATTGAGGATCCAAATAGGAGGATGGGTCTTACAGAGATGGGGAACCTTTTTCCTTTGAAGGGCCGCTTGGATATTTATAACATAATTTGCTGGCCATACCATACAAAAATTATCAACTTAAAAATTAGCCTGCTATAGATTTACTGATTTTTTGATTCCTGCTTGTGGTTGCCTTGGCAGGGCCAGACCAAATGCTTTTGCCAGCCTCAAACATTCCCTGGGCCAGTCATTCCCCCCTCCTGAAAGGAGTTAGGGCTCAGTCCCTCACCTACTGTGCAGAGGAGAAGGCTGAGTTGATTTCTCTGAAGAAGAAAATGAACACTCTGAGTAGAAGACAGCAAGTGCATTAGAGGCTGAGAATTTTTTTTCTTTTAAAGATTTAGTCCTTCATTTGAAAGGCAGAGTTATAGAAAGAGAGGGAGAGACAGAGAGGGAGAGATCTTGTATCCACTGGTCCACTTCCCAGATGACTGCAACAGCCAGAGCTGGGCCAACCCAAAGCCAGGAACCTGGATCTCTCATGTGGGTGGCAAGGGCCCAAGTACTTGGGCCATCTTCTAACACTATCCCAGCCACATTAACAGGGAGCTGGATTGGTTAACCCACTGTGCCACAATGCCGGCCCCAGGGCGAGGATTTTTTTTAATCAAAAGCAGAGAAACTCGTTAGCAGTTCCTACCAGGGTTTCTGAGATCCCCACTTCCCTTCCTGGTTCCTCCCATAGCAGATAGCCAAGCCTATACCTGAAAGCGGGAAAATGAAAAATCCATCTCCCACGAATTCGACTAACCCAAGAGAAAACAACTAAAAACACTGATCTGGATGAGCTGGGTTACTTTGCCCTCCATCCCTTGCCCTGGAGAGACCAATCAGTGGCTTAATGCCTATGGCAGGCAGCCATGAACCAACAGATGGATCCAGGATGGAAGCTAGAAACTAAAATCCACATACTGAAAAGGCAATTTTTAGGTAGCAAACTCTACAAGGAGAGGAAAACCGGTTTTGAAAGCTATCGCCATCAAATCCGGAGAGATATGTAAAGATACACCAACACAAAACAAAAATAGCTCACTATATAAAAAGGAGAGCATCCAGAGAACATGGAGTTCTTGGAAATCAAATAGATGTCAGTCGAGTTTAAAACTCTGTCGGCACACGGAGGACACCCAGAGCTGTGTGTGTCCTAATCCCCAGTACCTGTGGCAAAAAGGGACTTTGCAGACATGATTAGTATTAGAGATCTAGAGATGAGCTCGGATTGCCATGCTATGTGAGCTCTGAGGAGCTGAGAGCCTTGTGGCTGGGAGGGGAGAGATGCCACCACAGAACACCAGGCAGGGGAGATCAGAAAGCAGAGAGGGGCGTGATCCATGTCCCCAGCCTGGAAGGAGGGTGGGGCTGTGGGCCAGGAGTGTGGGTGGTCCCCAGAAGCCGGAAGAGCCTTTTGTTGGCAGTCTTCTAGAAAGCAGGGACCTCGGCCCTATAAGCCCAGGAAACTGAGCTCTGTCATCAACCCAAAGAAGCAAGAGAGGGGTTCTTCCCAAGAGCTCTCCAAAAGCACATAGTCCTCCAGACACCATGACTTCAGTTTGTGAGATTCATGTTAGATTTTCAGATTTTCCTCGGAGCTGTAAGACGATACCTTTGTGTAACTTTAACACACTTTATGGGCAGTTTGGGATATAGAGTCAAGTGAATTCCCTAAGACATCATGGGGGCATGCAGGAAAGTTAAGTGTGGGTGAGAGTGAGGGATGAATAGAAAGGATAAGTCACCATCACCGTTAGTGGAAAGTTGGTGAATAATGCTGTTACTGGAGGAAGTCCCAATATACGCAAGATAGGAAACTAAAAAAAAAATTTTTTTTGAAAGCTATAAAAGATTTGAGTATAGTTGCCCTCAAGGCACAAAATGCAAAAGATAAGGGGGATGGACTGCTGAGGGTTTTTTTGTTTTTTTGTTTGTTTGTTTTTTGCAACAAGCCTTGTTGCCTCCTCTTTAAAGTATGTGCATATATAACTTTAAAAACAAAAAAAAAATGGAAAGAAAAAAAATCAGGAGCAAGTCTTTTGTCTCAAAGGGTTAAGCTGCTACTTGGAACGCCTACTTCCCATATGCAAGTCCCAGCTGCTCTACTTTCTGAGCTACCTTCCTGGTAATGTGCCTGAGAGGCAGCAAAAGATCGCCCAAGTACTTGGGTTCCTGCCACTTCAGTGAGAGACCAGGATGCATTTCCTGCCTCCTGGCTGTGGCCTGGCCTAACCCCAGCTGCTGCAGGCATTTGGGGAGTGAATGAAAAAAATAGAAGATCTCTCTCTCTCTCTCTCTGTTTCCTCATCTCTGTCAATCAGCCTTTCAAATAAATAGATAGTTTTTAAAATCAATTACTGGGGCTGGTGCTATGGCACAGTGGGCTAAGCTGCTGCCTGCAGTGCTTGTATCTCATACGGGAGGTTTGAGTCCTGGCTGCTCCACTTCCTATCCAACTCCCTACAAATGTACCTGGGAAAGCAGCAGAAGATGGCTAAAGCGCTTAGGTCCCTGCACCCACGTAGGAGATCCAGAAGAAGCTCCTGGCTTCTGGCTTCAGTCTGCCACCCCTGGCTGACCAGAGGATGCTTATTAAGAAGATTCTTGTTGATGCAATATCTAGAGGGAGGCATTTGGTGCAGCAGTTAAGATTCTGCTTGGGACAACTGCATCCCATATTGGAGTGCCTGGGTTCCAATAGTGGCTCCTCTGTTCCCAACCTAGCTTTCCTGCTAATGCACGCCCTAGCAGGCAGCTGATGATGGCTCAAGTTCTTGGGTTCCTGCCACTCACAGGGGAGACCCAGATGGAAATCTGGACTCCAGACATCAGCCTGGCCCTACCCCAGCTGTTGTGGGCATTTGGGGAATGAACCAGCAGATGGACGATCTCTCTTGCAGGCTTTCTCTCTCTGTCTCTGTTGCTCTGCCTTTTTTTTTTTTTTTTTAAGATTTGTTGTATTTATTTGAGAGGCAGAGTTACAGAGCAAGAAAGGATGTGAGAGAGAGAGAGAGAGAGAGAGAGAGGTCTTCCATCAACTGTTTCACTCCCCAAATCACTGCAAAGGCTAGGGCTGGGCCATGCCAAAGCCAGGAGCCAGGAGCTTCCTCTGGGTTTCCCACATGGGTGCAGGGGCCCAAGGACTTGGGCCATCTTCTACTGCTTTCCCAGATGCATTAGCAGGGAGCAGGATCAGAAGTGGAGCAGCCAGGACTCCAACCGGCACTCTTATGGGATGCTGGCATTGCAGGCAGCAGTTTAACCAGTTAAGCCACAACATCAGCCCAAGCTCTGCCTTTCAAGCAGATGAATCTACATAAACATGTATAAATAATCGTTGACTGTTTGGAAGGGACAGAAGAACTGACGAGCACATTTGAGGAAGATGCTAAAAACTGTAAAAATCTAATAATCCACATTTTCTAAAGGCAGCTGTTGATGGGATGTGACTTTGAAGTTTTGCTCTGAAGTGTTTTGGTTTGTCATAAGGAAAATGAATTTAAGAGAAGTATGATTCTGAAAAGGGTAATGAGAAAGCTACAGTAATGAAGTTCTCTATGCAAAATGTTTTGGCAATTGTTACAGTCAAGTTCACTGGAAAATAGACTGTGAGATGAAGATTTGTGTGCAGGGGTTATTGGTGACAGCTCTGGCATTTAAACCCCAGGGAGAGAAAGCAAGCAGGATTTAAACTGAGAGAGGGGGGAGCTCCGATGCCATCACAACTAAGGCCTCATTGCATCCTTCCAGGAGTTGTGGAGCTGGGATGTCCCAAGCTGAGCCAGGGAAACCTGCCTTTACCCCCGCACTCATCCGTCCTCGGAAGTGGGCTTCCCTTGGAAAAGCTCTCGGGCAGGGTGGCTTTCTGCAGGTGAGGGCGCTTCTCATAGAGGACACTTGCTGACAGCAAGCAGCTGCTGGCTCACCCAGTACCCAAGGCTGGCACCAGCACTGCTCAGCAACCTCTACAATCCTCTGTTCAGTAATCCTGCGCTTCTCTACATATATTATACATTACTAATAGGAGAGTAGAAGGAAGAAGTGTCAGGCAGGGAAATGAAACCTCCGTTCCAATAGTGGAATTTCAAGAATATGGAGAGTGGCCAGCACTGTGGTGCAGCAGGTTAAGCTGCAGTCTGCAGGGCTGGCATCCCATATGGATGTTGGTTCAAGGCCTGTCTGCTCCATTTCCAATCCAGCTCCCTGCTAATGTGCCTGGGAAAGCAGTGGAGAATGACCCAAGTTCTTGGGGCCCTGCACCCATGTGGGTGACCAGGAAGAAGCTCCTGGCTCCTGGCTTCAGATCAACCCAGCTCCAGCTTTTGTGGCCATGTAAGGAGTGAACTAAAGGATGGTAGACCTTTCATTCTATCTCTCCCTCTCTAATTCTACCTCTCAAATAAAAATAAATATTTTTAAAAAGAGAGAGAGAGAAACCAAGAAAGAAATTCCATTTACAATAGCCACAAAACAATCAAATATTTCAGAATGAATTTAATCAAAGAAGTGAAAGATCTCTACAATGAAAATCATCAGACATTGATGAAAGAAATCATCAAGGACACACACCAAAAAATGGAAAGATATTTCTTGCTCATGGATCAGAAGAATCAATATCATTAAAAATATCTATACTATCTAAAACAATCTACAAATTTAATGCCATCTCTATCAAAATACCAATGAAGTTCTTTACAGAAGTAGAAAAAACAATCCTAAAATTCATATGGAATCACAAAAGACCCAGAATAGCCAAAGCAATCCTGAACAAGAAAAATCAAGCTAGAGGCATCACAATACCTTACTTCAAAGCATACTACAAAGCTACAGTGATTACAATAGCATGATACTGGCATAAAAACCAATATAAAGATCAATGGAATGAATAGAGCCCAGAAATTAACCCACATAAACACAGCCAACTATTT